CCGGCCCCCAAATTTTTCAAGGATTATCTCTACAGTGATAAGGGATACAGTTTGTTCAGAAACCCTCTCTCAAGAAATTTGTTCATCCCTGCATTCAAGGGGACGATTTTTATTTAACTTACTTCCTTGTTCCAAAGAAGGATGGTGGTTTTCGTCCAGTTCTAGACTTGAGACATCTAAACGTGTTCCTGAAAACTCTTCCCTTTCGAATGTTACGTGCAGCCGACATTCTTCGGTCAGTCACAAAGGAAGATTGGTTCACAAGCATAGATTTTAAAGATGCTTACATTCATGTTCTGATTGCTCCTCACCACAGGAAATTTCTTTGATTCAGTTTCAAGAACCAGGCCTACCAATTCAAGGTCCTACCGTTCGACCTATCTTTGGCCTCTCGTGTCTTCACGAGGTCAAGTCAAGTCAAGTCACCTTTATTTATATAGCGCTTTTAACAATACAGATTGTGTCAAAGCAACTGAAAAGCATTAATTAGGAAAATATTGCCAATAATGCAAAATGACAATAGTAAACACTCATTTTTCAGTTAAAGACAGTTCATCATTGAATTCAGTGATGTCATCATCCAGCTCAGTTCAGTTTAAATAGTATCTTTGCAATCATTTGCAATCAAGTCAACGATATCGCTGGAAATGAAGTGTCCCCAACTAAGCAAGCCAGAGGCGACAGCGGCAAGGAACCAAAACTCCATCGGTGACAGAATGGAGAAAAAACCTTGGGAGAAACCAGGCTCAGTCGGGGGGCCAGTTCTCCTCTGACCAGACGAAACCAGCAGTTCAATTCCAGGCTGCAGCAATGTCACATTGTGCAGAGGACTCGTCTGGTTCCTGTGGTCTTGTCCCGGTGGTCGTCTGAGACAAGGTCTTTACAGGGGATCTGTATCTGGGGCTCATCTAGTTGTCCTGGTCTCCGCTGTCTTTCAGGGCTGTAGAGGCAAAGTATTAACATAAACATTCATCTCACAAGCCACAGGCTTTTGTGATTAAGCATTATTATACAACAATGTAATTCATTGTTTGAATCTGAGATTATCACACAACCTTCCATGCATGGTGCTCAACTGCTATACTAACTTGTTGCCATATCTTGCCTTATTTTCTACACTTACAAATACCTGGTAGCCTCAGTGCTGAAGCTATGAGACTTTGGGTAGCATATTTTTCTTATCAGGGCTAC